TAAAAATTCCATTCGAATGCCTTTGATATTCAATTCAACTTCAAATAATTCCTCAGATACATATCAACATAAATTATATCAAACGGAGCTTAATTGCGATAAACGGATCAAATCGGGTGATAAATCAGTGAAATACGGCTTACCGGGTTCGAATTTGGCGAAACGGACTTCGGATTCGGATTCAGGACGTCGAAAGCATAAAATGTGACTTTTCAAAAATTTGGAATTTTTGGTCAAAATCAAAGTCAACGGGTTTGACCGGAAATTTCGAGGCCTTCGGGTTCGAATTTCGAAAAACGGACAGCGTAATCGGATTTGGAACGTCGAAAAATGTCAGGATAGGTATACTCGGTCGAAGTCAAAGGTCGTTTAATGCCCGGTCAAAGCTAGTCAAAGTTTTGGTCAACAGTGGTCAACGACGGTCAATGGTCAACGGGTCGGGTCGGGTCAACGGGTCAGGTCGGGTCAACGGGTCGGGTCGGGTTGTGACAGGTCAAACCGGTCAAACTATACACCAAAACCGGTCAAACCGGTCATTTTTTCTTCCCCACGCGCAGTGGCGGCGCGTGGGGGCGCGTTAACAGTGCTAAAATCCCGGAAAAATTTCTAAAAATTATTTTGAGCGATTTCGAGATACTTACAAAGCTCGGTTCACAATTTTGAACGGCGGAGAGCTCGATTTCAACAAATCGGAAACTTTGACCGCTTCATCTCCTCACGCCGCCGTCTACGGAGACCAAGGATGACATCGGCAAACTCAGAACGATGCAACGAACACGATGGTGCGGGAGGTGTCGTAAACAGATGACCCGATCGTCGTGAATCGATGAAAAACCAACTAAAACCGAGTTATTACCGACGATACTTCCGACTGAAATTCACGACGAACGGCGATGATTCACGACGAAAGGTTTGAGGGGTTTTGTTCCTCGATTGACAACGAACACGATGGTGGTTTCAGCTCGTCGTTTGGAGGTCGGACGGCGAGTAGATCGGAGTTGGAAGTTGGGTTGTTGGATAAGGGAAATCTGGAAAATATGAAACCTGCGCACAGGGAGGAGCTTATAATTCATCATATATAAGAAATGGTTAAATCATGATTTTAGCCACTGAATTTTCTGCACTTTATAAAATGGTCTGCCAACTTTAAAACTTTATAATTTAATCCCCAATGTTTCTTTCAAAATATCAATTAAATCTGCCACTTTATAATTTCTTAATTTTAACCCCTAAATTGGGGTGTTACAAATAGCATGCGCCTCCAAGAAACCAGCATACTGAAATCTTACAATATGTTTAGTTGGTACCAAATCATTCACGTCACGTAAAATAAAAATAAGATATACTATTATATGAATTTACATAACTATCACATGAATTTCATTAATTATTGACATTAGATGTTTTGAATAAAACTAAATTAAAAGTTTGTTTTACTCAAGTATATAGTTTAGTGGTCAAAATGGAATCGATTCAATAGTTTATTGACCTTGAGAGTAGTTTACCCAAAGTGGATATTTGCCGGATGCTCGCCAATCCAAAATTCCAAATACAGCGTCAAGTCCCCACAGGCCACCACTAAGCAAATTCCGACCTCGAGATTTCATTCGGCGCTCGCCTCCTCCTTACCACAAAACTAATATATACACACTCAAATATTCGTTTCCCTTCAAAAAAATTCGTTCCGAGCATAAAAATTATTGCTTGCCAAACAATTTATTTGACGAAGGTTTTTGAATAGGAAAGACATGCAGATCTTTGTCAAAACACTTTCAGGGAAGACTATTACTCTCGAGGTTGAGAGCTCCGACACCGTTGATAATGTCAAGGCCAAGATTCAGGTTTTTCTTGTTTGGCCCCCTCTTTGTTTTTCGTTTTTACTATTTGTTTGATCTGAGTTTCTCTCTTTTTTAAAAAGGAATTAGTGATGTTATTGTTGTCGCAGTTGATTTTTTGTTTCGTTGATGAGAAAATAACAAGTAACCGATAAGGGAAAACAACTCTAGATATGTAGATATGTGAAGTAAAACTGTGGCTAGGTTTTAAGATTTTTAATCTCTGTTTGCTAAGTTTGGCTAATTGATTAGATGCTATTAACTCTGAATCGAAATACTTTGAAATCTGAACTTTTTTTTTAAAAAGGGAAAAAAAGTTACTCAAATTTTATCTCGGATTAGATAGATAGTTTGATCATCAATGGCGAAAACTTGCCATGATCACCCAACATCTAAACATGATGTAATATTTGTGCCTTGATTTCTTCATAGGTTTTCTACTATTTAGCATTGTGGGTGAATGATGCTTTATTCTTTTTGTTAGAAATCAAACTTGATTTCTAGAATGTTGAAAAATTTGCATATGACAAATATCTGGCAAGACATGGATAATTCTAGAAGATTCTTTATTAGTGAAACATGATCTTGAATTACTTAAGAACTAAGCATGGAAAATAAACATGTGACAATTGATGATGGAAGGGAATTTCATTAAGACAAGGAACTCCATGTGGCAATACAAGAAGAATTTGGAAATGTCTAGATCTTTCATTAAGGAGGTTAATTACCCTTGTAAATGTATGTCTTTAGCATTAATATAATGTATACAAAGTGAATGAAAAGGAATATGAGAAAAGGCTTAGAAAAGTCAGAATGAGAAATAGTTTAGCAAAGTTATTAGAGAATGAAAAAGCTTAACAAAGCAAGGACGAGAAATAGCTTAGCAAAGCTATGAGAGAAAAGGTGAAGCTTAGCAAAGCTTAAAATATTGAGGATGTGTTTATAAACTAGCCACAACTAGTGTTGTAGTGTAGTATTATTGTCATATGGGGTAACGTCGTTGTAACATATTTTGTTTCGTATTAATAATAGTGCGAGTTTTATAAATTACTCGAGTGCCCACCTACGCTTCCAACAAGTGGCCTCAGAGCTTGGTTCGTGTTTAACGTGGTGGAGAAGATGACCAACATGATTCAACCTCAAATCCCGAGATTGACAAAGATGGATTATGACAATTGAAGCATTTAAATGAAGGCGTTACTAGGCTCCCAAGATTATTGAGATATCATCGAGATGGTTACATCGAGCCTGAAAATGCAGCAGCAGAAGCAACCCTGACCAATGAAGAAAAGAAGGTATTGAAGGAATCCCGGAAAAAAGATAAAAGAGCGTTGTTCTTTATTTTTCAAAGAGTAGACGAATCTAAATTTGAAAAAATTTATGATGCGATGACCGCAAAACAAGCGTGGTAGATTTTGTAAAAATCTCTTCAAGGTGCCGAAAAGCAAAGAAGAATACATAGCCGCAGTAGTGTGTACTTTCCAGGAAATGAAGAATCGATTAGAGATAATAAGCGGAGAAAAGCTTGGAATGGAAAATCAAGTTTGAGGGGAAGTGTTAGAAATCAAACTTGATTTCTAGAATGTTCGAAAATTTGCATATGACAAATAGCTGGCAAGGCATGGATAATTATAGAAGTTTCTTGATTAGTGAAACATGATCTTGAAGTACTTAAGAACTAAGCATGGAAAATAAACATGTGACAATTGATGATGGAAGGGAATTTCATTAAGACAAGGAACTCCATGTGGCAATACAAGAAGAATTTGGAAATGCCTAGATTTTCATTAAAGAGGTTAATTACCCTTATAAATATATATTTAGCATTAATATAAATGTATGCAAAGTGAATGAAAAGGAATATGAAAAGGCTTAGAAAAGCCAGAATGAGAAATAGCTTAGCAAAGCTATTAGAGAATGAAAAAGCTTAGCAAAGCAAGGACGAGAAATAGCTTAGCAAAGCTATGAGAGAAAAGGTGAAGCTTAGCAAAGCTTAAAATATTGAGGTTGTGTTTGTAAACTAGCCACAACTAGTGTTGTATTATTGTAATATTGGGGTAACGTCGTTGTAACATATTTGTTTCGTATTAATAATAGTGCGAGTTTTATAAATTACTCGAGTGCCCACCTACGCTTCCAACACTTTTAAGCTTGAAAGTTAGTGCCTAATTTATATCTTAAGAAGCTTTGATTTGAAGTTTTCCACGAAATGCTGGAAATTTTTTTATTAGTTATGGAACAGGATCCACTTAGATTTATCCAATGGTTATATTTTGTGTAAATCTAATGAATATTATACAGCGTAAGTGGATTCTAAACTATATTGATTGTAGTCTATTTAAACTATCTGTTCAATACATATTCGAACATAGCGAGGGGTATGATCCTCCGAAAGCTTTTAAAATGAGAACTTGTATGTCGGATGCATACTTGTATTCCACACTGAACTTCAAGTCTAATGGTAACAAAATTGTCAACAGCGTCTCCATCTTTTGTTTTAATTATTTCTTCTTTGAGTGTTTGTGTTACACTGCACCGTTTTTTCTTTTAATCGTTTCGTTTTTCTTACTATAATGAAATGACTGCTGATGCACCTATTTGCAATTTACAGGACAAGGAAGGAATACCTCTTGGTCAGCAGAGATTGATTTTTGCTGGCAAACAGCTTGAAGATGGTCGAACTCTTGCAGATTATAACAAAAGGAATCGACACTTCACTTGGTTTTGAGGCTTAGGGGAGGGACTATGATCAAGGTTAAGACTCTCACTGGAAAAGAAATTGAGATTGATATTGAACCAACTGATACCATTGATCGGATTAAAGAGCGTGTTGAAGAAAAAGAAGGAATTCCACCTGTGCAGCAAAGGTTACCATCTTGTTCTCTGGAGTTTTCCTTTTACATTGTTATCTTGGTTTAAATTCTGTGCATTTTTTCCCTGGTAGATGCTTGTTGAGTTTAACATACCTGGATTTAGTTGTTCGCTTTTGAAGTTATCGACACTTCACTGATCCGCTGCATAATAATGATGTCTAATTTCACTTGAATTGTTCCATGGTTGCAGGCTCATTTATGCTGGCAAGCAGCTCGCAGATGACAAGACCGCTCGTGAATACAATATCGAGGGGGGCTCTGTGCTTCATCTCGTGCTTGCATTGAGAGGGGGAAGTCTTTAGATGGCTGCTTCTATGATCAGAAACGTCTGATGGCATAAATTCTCTATTTTGCATACACTACAATTGTGACATGTGATGATCGGAAAACTTCATCTGATAATTTCCTTGACATGTTCTGTTTCTTCTAGTTATCTATGACTCACTGAGGAATTTACTTGTCTGCTTTCTGCTCTGAAACTGGGAAACCTTTTCAGACAATGAGCTTACTGTTGCTGCAGAAAATTTCCCAGTTTATGACTTACTGAAGCAGCAGTAAACTCATTGGCAGGAAATTTATGACCATGGTGGATTTATAAAATTTATGAACGAAAATAAATTATCAATAGAAAATATTAAGAAATATTAAATTATATAAGAACTTAAAGCTTTTGGAGACTACTCACGATAGCCTTCCCTCAGTCCATTCTCTCACTTTTCTTTCTTTATCAAACATATAGGGCTAGTTTGGCATAGTTTTGAAAAGTGACTTTTGAAAATAATGTAGAAAAAGAATTTAACAGTGCATATTAAAATTTAACCATTTGTAATTGTTATTAAAAAATAAATTTAAAAAGATAAAATATCAATTATGGATATTATGTTGTCAATTCAAAATATAGAATTTAAACTATATCTACATCTATTAATATTATGATATATAAAATATATCAACTTCAACTATAATAAAAATATAAAAAAATATTTTAAGATAATTTATTAATAGTATTTTTTAAATAAAATATTTTATTAAGAAAAAATGTATTATCATACGTTTTAACATGTAGATATAAAATTATTATGAAATAATAATTTAAATACTTGTTTTAAAAAAGAATATTACAAAAAAGACATTATTGCTTGCAAATTAAAGTATTAACACGGATATCTCATTTGATATGGCTACAGGTTTCAAACGGGTGGTGTTGTATCAACACGGATGCCTCCGTTGATACTGCTACAAGTTTCAGTTCGATTGGAGGTATTTGCTCGAAGGACTGATGGAACTTGGCTCTTTGGTTTTTACAAAGGTATTGGTGTCACAAATCCGCTTCAAGCCGAGCTTTGGGGCATTTTTCATGGCCTGTGTGAAGCTTGGCATTATGGAATCGAACTTCTGCAGGTTCAATCGGACAGCCTCCAAGTCATTAGCCTCCTCAAGAATCTAACTGCTGATAGCATTTTGCTTCCCCTTGTTCGCGCTATCTCTCAGATGTGTAATCGTAGCTGGTATGTCGAGTTTCTCTGGGTTCACCGTGAAGGCAACATGGAGGCTGATAGTCTTTCAAAGTTCGGTCTTCCCCTTGATTGCGAGATGCAAAGGCTCTCTGAACCTCCTAGTTCCACTATCCCTTTGATGCACTAGGACATTGCTGGCCCTCGTTATGTTAAATTTGGTGTAATTGCTTAAGGCCATTGCCTCCTTTCAATCCCCCAAAATATAAAAATGAATTTATTATACTAGAAATTATGGTATCTCATTAATTATATTTCATAACGAGACGAAGCTTTTAATTATTCCAATTCAATCACAATCACTCATTTAAAGTTTAAAATAACATAATTTAAATGATATCTTTGTCCTTTTAACCATTCAAAAATAAAAATATATTCAAAAGAAATTAATATTATAAATGAAATATATCAATTTAAACTATAATAAAAATATAAAAAAATACAAATAAAAATACATAATCATAATAAAAATATATTTTATAATAACTTAATATTAATATTTTTAATATAAACCATGAACTTTGTTTATTTTTAAGTAATTAAATAAATTATTAAATAATGAATTATTTTTTAAGGATTTTAATATTAATTAATAAAAATATATAAATACATAATTGAGTAGAGCTTATGTATTAATAAGAGTAAAATTATAATTGCTTCTAAAAGTAAAGTTGAAAATGAAAAAAAAAAACTAAAAATCCAAGAAGTGAGCAATTATTTAAAAAAATTATTTAAAAATTTATTGGTCCACTGAATCTATCGAATAATTTTTGAATCCAACAGGTTGAATGGATAATCAGATATTTGTGTTAGCAAGATAATCCCAAGCAAATGGAGTCGGCGCTGACAATTGCATTTATAGACTGCACTCGCAATAATGGCGTTTTCTAATACCCTTTTCTTCTCCTTTCTTTTATACCCAGTTTTCAAACTTGTTGGGTTTATACGTTTTCTCATTCTTCCTTTTCATTTTATTTCTACAAATGGAAACATTACACTATAATTTCATGTTTTGAAAGTATATTTTGGTCCCAAAAATGGGGAAAATTCAGTTTTAGCCCCTTCAAAAATTTTAAAATTAAATAATGTAATGGTAAAATCACCTTTTGACTTTCAAAAAAAATTCAATTCAATCAATTCAATTCAATTATTCTAATAAAAAATGGCTAAATTACACAAATGGTCCCCAATTATGAAATTATTTTGTTGAGTCCTTCGACTATTAAAAGTTACAAAATGATCTCCCGACTATATGAAATTATTTTTTTAGTCATCTGACTATTAAAAGTCACAAAATAGTCATTCGACTATTCATGTGTTTCAAATTCGTCATTTTCTATTAAAAATTTGTCGACAATCTAAGTTGGACACTAACCTACTGACTATGATATGCTAAAATATGATTCCTAAATCTCGAAATACTATCATATCTTAATCAACATGTTACATCCAACTCAGACTATCATAAATTTTTAACGAGAAATGATGAATTTGGAATATATGGACAATTTAATGATAAACGAACACAAAATGTAACTTTCTTTTAAATCAAGAAAAAACCATAAGAAAAAATATATATAAACGAAGACAAATATAAATTTAATTAAACAAATAAACATAAACGAGCAAATTATCGAACGTAAACAAACGAACGAATTATCGAACGTTCATGAACATAAATGAACGAACATGTACTTTGATCGTGTTTATTCATTTAATTAAACGAATATAAAATCTAGTTCATATTTGTTCGTTTAATAAATAAACAAACATAAATGAAGTTTCCGCTAAACAGTTCACGAATAGTTATTGAACGGTCGGTTCGTTTACAACCCTATTAATAATATTTTCGTTCAATACATTATAAACAATGAATTTGTTGATTTTTGTATTTTCGTCCAATAATTTCATTACACTTATGATATGAATAAATAAAAATATTATGTGAAAAATATATTTATATAAGATTATTCAATAAATAATTACAAGTAGAATGGTAAATATTTGTAAGCAAGTTTATTTATCTTGTGTCTAATATTAGTGATGTTTTTTTAATTATTTTAGTAAATCAAAATAATGATAGGATCAATATACATTTATAAACTTTTTAATTTCAAATTAATTTTAAAATGAAAAATATTATATTATATTTAAAAAAAATATTTATGACAAAGTCACAAACAAAATAAGATAAAATAACTCATATATATTGATGGAAAATAATCCATATAAATTAACTTTTTAGGTTTTTAGCTATTAATAATTAAAAAAAACTAATGTTGACCAGCTTTCAGTTTCATTTAATCGAAATCATGGTTGCATGGGGCAGGGGCTGCCAAGGGCCAACCTCGAGACAGATAGGCACGAGATCATGCCACTTGCCCAAGGAATTATTAAATGCATTAGTTTATTCAATTATCCACTTGTAGAAACTGATAATGCAACAATATTTTAATCCATTTGAAAATAAATGTTGACTGTATGACCAAATTTAGAGTTCCAAGAAAGTAATAGTTGTCTATAAATAGAAGAAAAATCAAATAAAATCACACAACCATTCCTCAATTTCATTTCATCTAATTTATCTATTTGTTTCTATGGCACTTCAAGCAAGTATTTTTACCAAATTTGCACTGAACCAAGGCGTTTTTATGCCAGCTCCTCGGGTCAATTTCCGTGGGAGAGGACCCCGTTGCCTGGTATCAACACATCTGGTGGATTCCGTGCAAGTTTCTCAAGTGCCGGCCAACACTCACCGAGAAACCTTTCGTCCATTGGCGGACTTCCCCCCGGATATATGGGGCGACTATTTCATGTCTCTTTCTTTCAACAATTCGGTAATCACGTTCCCGTGTTTCTCTTGTAAATCACACATGCATCTCCTATAGTTTGATATTTATGTATGTGCGTGAATATCAAACATTCATCTTTCTCAGTTGTAAAAGGAACAATTATAAAAAAAAATTCTAATGTGTCTTTTCTTTTTATCTTTTACAGGAATTGAAATCATCCTCCAAGCAAGTGGAGGCGTTGAAAGAAAAGGTGAAGGGCATGTTAAAGGATTGTATTGACCAAGTAGAAAAAATCATGTTGATCAATGATCTATGTCGCTTAGGATTATCTTACCACTTTGAGGACGAGATTCAAGAGCTATTAAGCTACCATTTTCATTCAATGTCTAAACTAATTGATGATGAAGACTTGGATTTGCACACCGTTGCAACCATATTTCAAGTTTTCAGGTTACATGGATATCCTATGCATCACGGTAAGCATCACTTTCCAATATTTCATGCAAACGGGCTAAATTATAACATAAGAATTATTATTAATACGGTGGATTTTGATTCAGATGTATTTAACAAGTTTACGGACGATGAGGGAGAGTTCAAGGAAGAACTTGCAAGTGATGTGAAGGGCCTTATAAGATTGTACGAAGCAAGCCAATTTAGGATAAATGGGGAGAAAATTTTAGACGAAGCACTTGTTTTCACAACGAAGCACCTACAGTCATCCTTGGCAAAACAATCAACAGGTTCCCATATCAGAGAATACATTGAAAATGCTTTGAATCGACCCTATCACAAAGGCATGCCGAGAGTGGAAGCAAGACAATACATATCCTTGTATGAACAAGATGAATCACCAAACGAAACATTGCTCAATTTCGCAAAACTCGACTTCAACCGAGTCCAGTGTCTATACCAACAAGAACTAGGCACCCTTTCAAGTTGGTCCAAAGAAATGAACATAGCATCAAGACTTCCCTACGCAAGAAACAGGATGGTGGAGATATTCTTCTGGGCAGTTGGATTCTATTTCGAGCCGCGTTACGCGTCTGCTCGAAACATATTTGCGAAACTTCTCATAATCTTGGGATTTATAGATGATACGTATGATGCATACGGTACCTTTGAAGAACTCGAATGCTTCACCCATGCCATACAAAGGTAAGATTTTTTTTTATCCTTGTATGTAAGTTCAATTTAGGGTAGTTTCAAAAATTAATAATAGCTGACATCTTCATTTTTTAGGTGGGATATTTGTGCCCTTGATCAGCTACCTGAAGATTATTTGAAAATACTATATGGGGCAGTTCTGAATGTTTACGATGAAGTGGATAGGATGGAGAGCAACAATGGACGATGTTACAGCATGTCTTTTACCAAAGATGAGGTATATTTTTCTTATCATCCGCCTAATGAACAAATAATAAAAAAAAACAATTATTCCGATCGAATTCTGATCAAACTCTAACACTTATTATCATTATTATTTCAGTTGAAGAAAATTGTAGTTTCGTACTTGATGGAAGCAAAGTGGACGAAGGAAGGTTACATGCCAACATTCGATGAATATTTGGAAATAGCATTGCATTCAAGTGCCGCCGTTTTAGTGATTGCTCAAGTCTTGGTTGGGATGGAAGAAGCTGATGCCAATGTCTTTGAATGGTTGAGAACTGGTGAAAGTAAATCTCTTACCGCTATAAATCTCATAGCTCGTCTCTACGACGACATCGCGACCAACGAGGTATTCTATTACTCGAATTATCGGTTATAGATGTATGTTATATACGAGTCGGTACACAAAATAATGTTATTTTGGTATGATTGAAGGACGAGGAAAAGAGAGGACTGGTTGCTTGTGGAATAAAATGCTACATGAAGCAATACGGCGTTTCGAAAGAGGAAGCAATACAAGAGTTCCGGAGAAGACTTGGGATTGCATGGAATGAGCTGAACCAGGAGTTTATCACGAGGCCCAGGGTTGTTCCTATTCAGATCCTTGAGCGTGTTGTTAACATTGCACGGGTGATAGACCTTACTTACAAGGACGAGGATGGGTTTACAATGTCTGAAAAGATTCTGAAACACCACATCTCCAATGTCCTCATCCACCCCGTGCCTGTTTAACAATTATGTTCCTGTCCTTTTTACTAATTTCCTATTTCAGTATTGAATAACACTATTATAAATTTAAAAATAAACATATTGATTTTTATAGTAATAAAATAGTTTTTTTTCGATGCTCAATTAATTTTCTTCGAAGGAGGGGTGAAACTGTGAATTATTATTTGGTCGGAGAAAATTGTGGACGTGTGAACCGTTATCTAACTTAAAAGTGGTCTAGTCTATTAGGGTTGAATAAATAGTTGGTTAAATTAGAATTAACTAAAAATTTTTATTTATTTCTAGAGTTTATAGTTTCAATGGTTAATTTAGTTTAGTTATTGATTTTAAAAATTTTAATCAAATAATTGATTGTATGTATATTATTTTTTATATAATCAGTGGTGTCTTGATTGACGAATCCATATCAAATATTGTGGAAATTCATTATAATGGCGACTCTCCCAACCTAATTTACATATACTCTAGATCTACGGATTATTGGTAATTGTATGTTTTTATATGTATATTTAATTAATTTAATATTAATATAAAATTAAATATTTAACTACAAAGTACAAACTAATTAAATTCTTTAATAAATTAGATTATTGCATAAATGTCGAATTCAACAATGATAATTTTTATTTTTTAATAAATAAATCTTAAAAAGAAAAAGAAATGTATATATTCAGTCTATTCGATTTTTTCAGTTTAATTAAGAATAAATTCAATTGAATTTATACCTTTATCTAAAGCCCACAAAATGTGCGGTCCAATTGTCCCAATAAGGCCCAAGTTCCAAGTAAATATAACATAATACTACAAAGAAACCAAATCAGATTAAGGCTAGCAGTCAAACGAAGCTCAATAGGCAGATATAGTCTGACCGACTCGGTCCGCCGTCCGACACAACTTGATATTATTGAAAATTCGTATTCAACCAGTCTTAGTCTTGAAAATAAAAGCAAACAGTCGACTTATTGTATGTTCAATCAGGTTCCCTTTATTTTACTGAAAATTTTTTAACAATAAATTTACGTAATTGAATATTTTTATTTTTAATCAATGTTTAATAGAATATCATAATTATATATGAATTCAATGTGAGAAGAGGCATGTATCATGACCGAGATTAGTTGTGAATGATTGGGCCTAAAGATCTCTGCACCCACTAGTAATTAAAATTTTCTTTTAATTTTATTTCTTTCGTCAAATAAGTTGTACCACCAACTTTTTCTTGTTTCCCAAGTAATATTTATTTTCGTGACGGAGGCCCAACATTGCATTATCAACATATTTCATATTTTCATAACAAACGGGAACAAGAACACCGAGGCACTGAGAACATACATACACCCTTTTCTTTTCAAATGAGGAGGAGAAATGAGTAGTGAGCGCAATCACCGGAACTTTCCATGTACGGAGCCCTTTAGATTGAAGATGAATAATTTGTGGTTTTCCCCTCAGAAAGTAATTGGATATTATTGCAGTGATTAAGCCAATGTTAATAATACCTACCTTGGCTTCTTCGCTAAGCTACACGATCTCTAACGCAGTCATGTATGCAAAGTGCTATAAGTACATCCTCAAACCTACCGATTATTCCTCACATCATCATTTTAAAAATCAAAGAAACTATCGAAATGATGCATAATCCACTGTTTCTTGTCCTTGCCGTAATTTTCTCCAGCCTGGTGATTCCATCAGTAACTGGAGCAAAGGCCTCGAGTAGTTTCAGTGTGGACCTTATTCACCGTGATTCGCCAACATCTCCCTTCTATAATGCTTCTCTCACCTCAACGGAGATCCTAAGAAAAAATGCCCTCCGTTCAATGTCCCGACTCAAACACTTCCGGTCTTTGATTGATCAAAGCGCCATCAGATCTGCATTGATTCCGAGTGGAGGCATTTATCTGATGAAACTCTCATTTGGAACACCACCAGTTGAATACTTTGCCATTGCAGACACCGGCAGCGACCTTATATGGATACAATGTCTTCCATGTGGACAGTGCTATCCACAAGGCTCTCCTCCTTTTGATCCTCGGGCCTCGTCCACTTACAAAGAGATCCCTTGTGGTTCCGACACTTGCCAAGCTCTTCCCCGGAAACAGTGCACCAACACAAATGACTGTCAATACTCGTATGGCTATGGAGACAACTCGTTTACCGTTGGAGCCCTCAGCACTGATACCTTGACTTTTGACTCCTCCAATGGGAAAATCACAGCATTCGCCACATCGATTTTTGGTTGTGGACACAACAATCAAGGCAAATTCAGAAGCCCGACTGCTGGGCTTGTTGGCCTGGGAGGAGGGCCATTGTCCCTGGTTTCCCAAATAAGTACTCGAATTGATAACAGATTCTCCTACCGCTTGGTCCCTCGCACTTCAAGCTCCAGTAGTAAACTGCTCTTCGGCCAGGAAGCAGTAATATCTCGTCCCGGAGCTGTTTCGACTCCGTTGATAACCAAAACCCCTCCTACCTTCTACTTCCTTAGCCTCGAAGGTGTTAGCATCGGAGACAAGACCGCACAGCCAGATTCGAGCCACCGGAATATCATAATCGATTCGGGAACAACACTCACGCTCCTAGAATCAAATTTTTATAACAGCTTAGAGACTATAGTGAAAGACACCATTGGAGCAGATCCAGTGCAAGATCCTTCAGGAACATATAGATTGTGTTATGGGGCAGAAACTAATATCAACGTTCCAGAAATGGTGTTCCATTTCAGTGGTGCTGACCTTCGCTTGCAACCCGTCAACACATTCCGGATCAATGCGGACTTAATGTCTATGCTGATAGTTCCAAGTGACTCCTTATCTATCTTTGGAAACTATGCACAGATAAATTTCCGGTTGGAGTATGATCTTCAGAAGAGAACTGCCTCCTTTGCTCCAACAGATTGTACCAAACAATAAGATCGTTTGACTTGGACAGAAATCACAAGATGACAATCTTAACGCAGTTTTAGGCGCTATTTAGATTGCTCAATAGCTTATATAGGTTTCTTGCTTACTTGAAAGATCCTTATATTTTGTTCAGATGGTAACATGAAAACTACTTGTAAGATGATAGTAATTACGGTTAATTGGTTCCTTCCTAGATGTTGCAGCTCAACTGTCTCTGCTATAGTTTGTCGTTGTGTTGTTTCAAACGAGTTTTGGTTTGGTTCTTCTCTCTTTCACGATTGGCTTGTGTACAGGTTAATTGAGAATAAAGTTTTCGATAATTTCTAAATAGTATTCAACATTCAGAGGGTGCTGAATACCTAGGGCATGGGTCGGGTTGGGTTTTTGGTCCACCCGACCTGACCCGAAAACAAGGGAGCCTCCACCCGAGATCCGACCTGGCCCGGCCCGACCAACACAATAGTTCACCCGACTCGATATATAACTTAGAAATCCGACCCGAAATAATAAAAAATATTATTTTTATTTAATAAAAACAGTAACTTAATTAAAAAAATTATATATAGATGTATTATTATAATTATTTCTAAATAGATAAAGTAAAATTATATTTTTTTCGGGTCGGGTCGGGTATTTTTACCCTAAACCCGAACCGACCCGAACATTACACTTAAAAAAATCCGACCCGACCCCGAATTATTTTAAAATAACCCGAGCCGATCGAGTCGGATCAAATCGAAACCCGTCGAATTCGAGTCTCATACCCATCCTTATGAATACATATTTTGATATCTTAATAAAGTAAAAGGCATAAGGAAAAATTATCACTTTTTTTCAGAAATAGTTATTTTCTTCTCTATACTTCTTTTTAATATTTTAGTTGTTAATATTTTATTTTTTTTTGTCAAAATAATCCGTATTGAATGAAAATTATTACTAATTGTCAATATATGTTACTGACGTGTTATTTTCATATGTGTTCAATTGTTAATGTAAAATATATTATGTCATTATTTTAGTGACGCGATAATTTATGATGATATAACACATGTCATATCATTGAGTAAAATATATAAAGTAAAATTATATTTTTTCGGGTCAGGTCGGGTCAGGTATTTTTACCCTAAACCCGAATCGACCCGAACATTACACTTAAAAAAATCCGACCCGACCCTAAATTATTTTGAGAAAACTCGAGCCGATCGGGTAAGATCAAATCGAAACCTATCGAATTCGAATCCTATGCCCATCTTTATGAATACCTATTTTGATATCTTGATAAAGTCAAAGGTAAAAGGAAAAATTATCGTTTTTTCATAAATAGTTATTTTCTTCTCTATACTTCTTTTTAATATTTTAGTTGTTAATATTTTATTTTTTGTCAAAATAATCCTTATTGAATGAAAATTATTACTAATTGTCAATATATATTACTGACGTGTTATTTTCATATGTGTTCAATTGTTAATGTAAAAATATATTATGTCATTATTTTAGTGACGCGATAATTTATGATGATATAACACATGTCACATAGAGTAAAATAGATAAAGTAAAATTATATTTTTTTCGGGTCGAGTCGGGTATTTTTACCCTAAATCCGAACCGACCCGAACATTACATTTAAAAAAATCCGACCTGACCCTGAATTATTTTAAGAAAACTCGAGCCTATCGGGTCAGGTCGAATCAAAACCCATCGAATTCGAATCTCATGCCCATCTTTATGAATACCTATTTTGATGTCTTGATAAAATCAAAGGCATAAGGAAAAAATATTGTTTTTTCATAAATAGTTATTTTCTTTTCTATACTTCTTTTTAATATTTTAGTTGTTAATATTTTATTTTTTGTCAAAATAATCCTTATTGAATGAAAATTATTACTAATTGTCAATATATGTTATTGAAGTGTTATTTTTATATGTGTTCAATTGCTAATGTAAAATATATTATCATTATTTTAGTGACGCGATAATTTATGATGATATAACACATGTCACATCATTGAGTGACATTATATATTCTACAGTATTATTTTAGGTGATATGAGATATATTACATCAACAATTGAATACATGTAAATATGTCATATTAAAAATATGTGTTGACCGTAATTAATTAGCGATTTTCATCCAACATAAATTATTTTAATAAAAAGTTAAAACGTTAAAAAATTAAAATATTTCAACAAAATAAATAAATATTAAAGTGACCATTTATAAAAACATTAAAAATTAATTTTGTCATTATACCATCACAAAATTTTTTGTAAATTCTATTCAATAAAAAGTCCAAGATGTAAATTAATACAATACTAAATAAAAAATAGAAAAACAAAATCAAGTCAATTTATTAACAGAAAAAATATGAAAAAGTGTAAAGAAGTTCATTCGACAACGATTTCTCATTGGAGTGAACACATGACGTTCATGTCCACACAGGACCTGGTTGAGGCGGCGCAAACTGTGCGATCGCCCAGGCCTCAAAAAAGTATATATATAGTGACGTTTTTTCAATAAACGTCATTATAGATAGATCTATTACGACGTTTTTTTAAAACACGTCACTATTATTACGGCTTTATTGATAAAATACCATTATAGATGAATCTATCGTGGAGTTTGTCAAAAAAACGCCACTATTGTTACAACGAAATCGAATATATCTAAAAAATAAAGACTCCTTTATAAGAATTTATAAAACGCCCCCGAAAACCTAGCCAAGACCATGTGTCCACAACCTCTAAAATGATAAAGATGATCCCATATGAGAACAATTTCTCATTTGAATGGACACATGAGCTTTACGTCAACGTCTAAAATCGTAAAAATTATTTGTTTGAAAATATTTATCAAAATATAAAAGAATGTTGTTAATATTAAATTTTAAAAATAATAAAATTATCACTAATATTATTATTTTGTATTAAATTGATCATTCGGTCATTAACAATTATTATTGAAGCTACAAAAGTATGATATGACACATTGGAACACCTAAATTGATGCTATTTGAGGTATTTCAATTACAAAAGACAATTGATAATCAAACATATCATAAGCTGAGATTAATAATTGAATCTCATTAGAAAATTTATCGTAATAAGTTGATGTTCTAACTTTAAAAAATAACTTAAATTCCCTATCTAAAATATCTAATTTTACCTCTCATATGGTTATATTATAACGTGAGTTGATGTTATAAAAACCATTTATTTTCTAATATACTTATCATGTATATTGAACAAATAAAGGTGAGATAAGAATAAAATTATATATACGTTTGTCCCACCACCTACTACGAGTCTAATTTTTATTATTATTTATGCCATAGTAGCTGTAAAACATGTATCAATCCTCATCCAATTGTGAGTGAAGTTGGATGGATCGTCACGAAGCCTACTCCATTAAGATCACTATAAACGAATTTTAATATTATGTCAAAAAATAATAACAAATTTATAAATATTAAAATGAGAAATTTTGAAGTAATTAGTTAAAATAAAAAAATTCTTAATAAAAATTATTTTGGTGTCATAAATTTCCAAATTTTTTTAAAATCAATTGATTTTCGTATTTTTTTGACATTCAAATAATTCTTTTACATAAAGATTTCTTCAATGACCAATATTGATAGTCAAATATAACATTTATTTTTAAACTAAATGGTATCACATATCACACATCATAATGTTATCAAGTGTTACTTTAAATACAATTATTAATTTTTAATAAATTTAAAACTTTTTCCTAAAAAATAGAATTGTAATGATATTTGTTTACAGTTTTTCTTTGAAAATCTATAAAAAAAAGTTTGCAGTAAAATTATTATACTATGTCACATATCATTAATATCTAATATTAAAATGGATAAAAACATAATTAATTTAATTTTTAAATATAAAATTTCAGTTAATTTAATTTTTTATCTGTAAATTCAACTGAATGAAAAAAAAAGAAGCATAAACACTGTTTTTTTAAATTGAGTACAAAAGTAAGTGTAGGTTCCTTTCAAATTCTATTTCTCGAGATGACTATTTGTTTTCTACGTTGATTGGACCCATGAGGTGAAAATGGTCCCACCATGTTGTCCGTGCTAATCGGGCTAGGCGACCGCTGACTACATAACATAATTACGGATTTATTTTCAATCTAAAATACTACATAATTAAACTGTAATTAAATATGATATTTAATTTCAATGCAATGGATCCATTTACAGTAGTATATATTGAAATAATTTTAAATGTTCTTTTTACATATAATTAATATTTTAGTGGTATAGATTATACACCTTAAACTTTAAAATAATTGAATAAGTCTTAATGTTATCTATTTTTCTCATTTTATCCTTTAATATTTTTTACTATTTTTATTAAATCGTTAATTTTCAATAATTATATTAAAATGTAATAGTTATACTATTAAAATGTTAATTACACAAAAAATTTAAAACCATATAAAATTATTTTAGTTTTACATTAACATAAATATATCTATCTCATATAAACATAAAATAAACATAAAATATTTTTTAATCAAAATGTATTAATTAAATTATTAATACATGAAAAAAATGATTGCTGGTTGACGTGTTAAGACTCGTATAGCGTCTCAAGACCGCGGCCGCGCACTAGTGGTTTATTTCTTAGAAAGTACATGGAAATTGGTGCAAACGACACTCCAAATCATATCTACCTTAACTTTTTTTCATTAAGCTTACACGATTTCTAACCCATAAATTCAAGCATCTGGAGAAGTGCTATAAATGCATCCTCAAACATGCCAGTCATTCCTCACAGCATCTTTAAAAAAGCAAAGAAATTATGCATTATCCTCTGTTTCTTGTGGTTGCCTTAATTTTCTCCAGCCTGGTGGTTCAATCAGTAGTTGGAGCAAATGCATCGACGGGTTTCGGTGTGGAACTTATTCACCGTGATTCGCCAGCATCCCCCTTCTATAATGCTTCTCTCACCTCGACGGAGATCCTAAGAAAAAATTACCTCCGTTCAATGTCCCGACTCAAACACTTCCAGTCTTTGATCGATCAAAACGCCATCCAAACTGCAGTGATTCCGAGTGGAGGTAGTTATCTTATGAAACTCTCATTTGGAACACCACCAGTTGAATACTTTGCCATTGCCGACACCGGCAGCGACCTTATATGGATTCAATGTCTTCCATGTGGACGGTGCTATCAACAAGGTTCTTCTCCTTTCGATCCTCGGGCATCGTCCACTTACAAAACGCTTCCTTGTGGTTCCGACAGTTGCCAAGCTCTGCGCCTGAAACAGTGCACCAGCACAAATGACTGCCAATACACGTATCGCTATGGAGACAGGGAGTCGTTTACCGTTGGAACCCTCAGCACTGATACCTTGACTTTTGACTCCTCCGATGGTAAAAAAGCAGCATTCCCCACATCCATTTTTGGCTGTGGGCACATCAATCAAGGCAGATTCAGAAGCCCAAGTGCTGGACTTGTAGGACTGGGAGGAGGGCCATTGTCCCTGGTTTCTCAAATAAGCACTCAAATTGATAACAGATTCTCCTACTGCTTGGTCCCTCACACTTCAAGCTCCAGTGGTAAACTGCTCTTCGGCCAGGAAGCAGTAATATCTCGTCCCGGATCTGTTTCGACTCCGTTGATAACCAAAACCCCTCCTACCTTCTACTTCCTTAGTCTCGAAGGTGTTAGCATCGGAGACAAGACCGCACAGCCAGGTTCGAGCCAAGGGAATATCATAATCGATTCGGGAACAACGCTCACGCTCTTGGAATCCAATTTTTATAACAGCTTAGAGACTATAGTGAAAGACACGATCGGAGCAGCTCCAGTGCAAGAACCTTCAGGAACATTTAGCTTGTGTTATGGGGCAGAAACTAATATCAACGTTCCCGAAATGGTGTTCCATTTCAGTGGTGCTGACCTTCACTTGCAACCCGTCAACACATTTCGGACCATGGGCGGCTTACAGTGTATGCTGATAGTTCCAAGCGACTCCTTATCTATCTTCGGAAACTATGCACAGATAAATTTCCAGGTGGAGTATGATCTTCAGAAGAGAACTGTCTCCTTTGCTCCAACAGATTGTACCAAACAATAAGTTTGTGGGGTCGAGGAATATATATATATATATAGCAATAGCAACTCAGCTTTAGGCCGCTATTTAAATTCCATATGTCAGTCCACTGGTAAACATATAAAAACGACCAGTAAGAAGGTTTTATGGTTAATTAGCACTAAAAATAATACTTCTATTTGCTGCTAGTTTCCTTGGCAAATTAAGCTTTGAATTTATAGGTGCGTCACTTTTTGCTACCCATTTTACAATCCTTTTGATTATTGTAATAAAACATAGAAATAGCTTAGGTTAAGATTGATACTTTTAAAAATAAGATTTTTAGTCACCAATAAAATAATGTCCCATAATTTATAGATGAGAAGTCAAACAATATAATTTAAAAGTAGTCTTATTAGACGATGATGTGAGGAGATCAAAATATTAGCACGTCAAACCTTTAAATGATTTTTCGTCAGTTTTGAGTGAGTTTCATGGAAAATCAATCATAATAGAAGAAATCAGAGTGAAATGCGAACATTTTAATATCAATCTTGTTGCGAAAGACGATCGGTGATGGGCAACAATTAGCTGGAAACAAAGATCAGAGAAATTTAGTGCTTAAAATTGAATATTTTTAAAGTTTAGTAACAAAATTGACACCTCTAAATTTTATTATCTAAAATAGCGTTAATTTTTACATCGATAACAATGCCAAAATGCCATATTTTATCTACGTTATCACAGTGATAGAAAGAACCATCCACATAATCATGTCTTTAAAATTTAATATCCCAATGACATAATTGAAGTGAAAGCCAAAGTTTAGGGCTATTTATAGCAATTAAAAATTCAGTGGTATATAATTTATACTGCCTAAAGTTCAGTGTTATCTGTTGTAGATTACCCTTTAATTATTTGCTACAGAAATTTGATTTCACGAAGCTCTATCTGTGCCACTTCTCGGCCCGAAAACCGATCCATTTTGTAGCCGACGGCTACTGAACTCGAAATAAAGACAACTCTCACACTCAGAAAATAACGACCGAGAAGAAGTAAAAATGTCAGCTTTGGGATTTACTTCACGCTTTAGCCCGATGCTATCAAACAGATTCCTTTGTCAAACCAATTCATTATTATTTAGCTTCTCTTCTTCTTTCTCCTCATCGCTCAAAATACCCTTCAAAGCTCTTTCTTGCTCTTCCAATTCCCTTCTTCATAATAATGGAACCACCTCGCGTCCCCTCTCAACAAGCTCTCCGCTTTCAGGTATTTTCTATTACTATGGTTAATATTATCTGCTTTTTTGGATGTAAAATTGAAATAAAAGGACTTATCTTTTGCGATACAATTTCAGGGTTAGAGGATGAGTTGGTGGGATATATATTTGGCAAGAAGAAGGCAACTGAAATGGCTCATTTGTAGGTGCCTGATTGCCCATTTTTTCTTTTTTGTTTCTCTTATTATTGTTTTGAATGCAATGTTTGAAACTGTACTCTATCTGCTTCTATAGTCTGGTGTTAGCCTGGACTGTCAAACCCTTTAGCGTTTCCTAGAACATTATTGTAAATTCATTGGCTTTGTTATAAATGTTGATGTTTTACATGCTTAGGGACTATGTAAACTGAAGCATTTTGTTGATGTTAATCGAAAGTTGTTTTCTAAGATATGATAGCAATTAAAGGCCAGAATTTCCTGATATGATACCGGTACCAGGAAGTGCAAATTGGAATTCACTGTCTGAGGGGTATAGATGTTGAAATTGAAGCAAGAAAACACTCAATTTGTTTGTGGAATTTGATTTTCTTGCTTATATATATTCTTCAGCATCCTGTTCTTTAGGCAAACAAACTTTTTTTTTTTTAAAAAAAAAGAAATTTCCCATTAATTTTGCACTGATGCTGAACTGGATGAGCTAATTTGACTTGGACCTATGGTGCCTGTTTATGATACAATCCCTCTTGTACTATCTTCTTAGCAATAAAGCATTTTTCTTGTTGTTTATAGTAAGGATGCTGATTTTTAATATATCATTAAATCTTTCATGGTAAATTTCCTTACCCTTCTCAGCAACTGTGCTCGACTTCAAATATGTCTTTCTTTTAATAATATTATGTTCACCAGGGTTTGGAGGCATGTCCTACATAAAGGGGATATTGCCATAGATGCTACATGTGGGAATGGTTATGATACCGTAGCAATGCTCAAAATGGTTGCTGATGAATCTTGTCGTGGTCGTGTTTTTGGAATGGACATTCAAACAGAGGCTTTAGAGAGTACTTCTTCCTTACTAGATGAAATTGTCAATCAGAAAGAGGTGCTTCTTGTTTTCTTCTCGATCTTGTCTTCTTTATCATAAAAAGTTCAAAGAAATAGTAAATTATGATTATTTCAAGGAAACCCTATCCAGATTTTACACTACATTTCAAATTTTATCCTTAAGATTCAGAATACCTCGTTATTGGCATATAAGTTTAACTTCAGGGTGTGTTTGGTAGAGTGGAAAGGTGAAAAGAAAATCAAGTTTGAGTGTGCTTGGTAGGAAAGAAGATAGTAAGGATGATCATTTTCCATCTTCATTAATAAAAATAAATCATTCCAATTTGGAATGATAAGAGGATAGAAAATGTGAGAGATGTAAGTTAAGTGTTCAAAATTATGCGTTTTTTGAATAGTTTCCTTTTCTTTTCTCATTTTTCTACACTACCAAGCAATTAATGGAAAGAATTTTTTTTTCTTTTTCATTTTTCCATCTTCCTATCAAGCACACCTAAGAAAGAAGAAATATATTTTTTATCTTTATTCTACTCTACTACTAATTCAATTCTCTTTCTTTCTGAGTTCTTTCTATCTTTCAGCAATTCAAGTTCATTTGACCTGTTTTATCCTGTCATTCTAAATTTATCATTTAGTTACCTTTATTGGTCTTCTGGATAGAACATATGTTCAACTACTAAGCTTGTAAAGTTTCCTGTGTTTCATGTAGCTCCTAATAAATTTCTGATTTCTGCAGAAAGAGCTAGTCAAGCTCTTCCCCATTTGCCATAGCAGAATGGATGAAGTACTTCCTGAAAAGATTGCCGTTAGGTACTACTCATTAGTGCTCAAGTTTCTCTCTCGTTTTAATATATATTTGATACTCATTAGTATGGAGTTATTGTTTGATTTGGCTGTTTAATCTATTTGCTGCTAGTTTATATAGAGTACTAACTTTACGGTTTGACCAAAACTATCTCTCAAATGGAACTCTGCACTAGTTTTTGTTTCTAGTTACAATATGCGTATAATTACCATTGGCATCCTTTATAAGTGATGTTTTTTTTTGCACATACAGTACTAACTTCATATTTAGAATAGATGTCCATGGCTACCTAATTGGTAGTTGTTTCTGTGCTCATTCATTTATTAATAAGGTAATATAAGAAATTTCCATTTAATGTATAGTTGGAAATACTTGAGAGGTCAAATCATGATGATTCTATATCGTAAACTCTGAATTTTGAACCTTTCATTTGGTTTTTGATGTTCATTACTAGTACCTTCGGTGGCTTTATCAAAATTTTCATAAGCCATGATATATTTTTCACATCGGGATAGCATTAATTCCTTGCCTGCTTTTAGACTTGTTGCATTCAACCTAGGCTACCTTCCTGGAGGCAACAAAGACATTATTACGACATCGAAAACAACCATGTTGGCATTGGAATCTGCAAAGAAAATGCTGATGTCGGGAGGGCTTATTAGCCTAGTAGTTTATGTAGGACATCCAGGTGGAAGGTAAATTTTCTTGAATGAGCTAGAGAGTTTACGAATCTTTGTAAATACCTTGCTTTGCTCACGTTATGTTAGACATAATTCACAGGGAAGAACTGGAAACAGTTGAAGGCTTTGCTTCAGGATTGTGTGTTGATGGTTGGATTTGCTGCAAGTTCCAGATGTTGAACCGACCTTTAGCTCCAGTACTTGTTTTCATTTTTAAGAGATGAAACGGCGATGGTTTCCAAAACGTCGGAATATTTGTACTAGGATATATTATATACATTCCTGGGATATTTGTTACATGTAGAAAGATTCATTTATGAATACATGCTCCTATCATAAAGCTTGAGAATATTATAATCTATACACAATAGAACCTCTATAAATTAATACTCGATAAATTAATAACCTCTCTATAATAATAATTTTTCTCAGTCTCGACTTGATCCCAAGGTCTAAATTAATAATTTCGATAAATTAATAAGATAATAATTTTCCGAAAAACCCTTATATAAATTTATGGTCCCTTCAATATGATAAATTAATAATTCTATAAAATTACAAATATAACTTAGTAAAAAAAATTTCTATTGTTTTATGTTTCTTCTTAAAATTTAAATTTAGATGTATTTCATCTCTATCTTTCTTTACTGCATCTAAAAGTTCCAGTGATGTATTCTCATACTTAACGAAAAGTTATGAAGAGTTGTTGCCTCTATGAGTACTTACTTTCACATAATTGGTTGCAAAGACATTGTATCGTCTTTAATTTCATCTTCAATTGAATTTTCAATAACACTAGTTACAATTTCTTCTAAACTTTGGACCTCTGAACATGTATCATTTTCACTCAGATAATTCAATAGTACTTAATATTCATTTTGTTGTAGTATCAAAGGTCATTAATCATTGTATCAAGTCCATCCAAGTCATGAATGTCCCTTACCATGCATGACCTCTAAACTTTATTTTTTAGGGGTATGCAGTCACATTGTACATAAACATTCAATTAATCAATACAATGTATATATTTTATTTATGAAAAATAATATAAGTTCGTTGAATAAAAAAAACTCTTTAAATTAATAAATTATTAATTTATCGATTAATTAATACCTTTTTAAATTAATAAAATAACATAATCCCGACATTATTATTAATTTATAGAGGTTTTACTGTCATCCACTTTCTGCAGTCTTTTTGCTGCCAAAAGAGTAATTCCAGGAACCAAAATCCTTAGTTGTCATCCCATGTAAAAACAGCAGACATCTTCTATAAAAACCATAAATACACTTCTAGAATTCGACATTTCTGTTGTCAAACAAAGTTTCTGATATTCTGAAGGGCTACCACACAGGCAGGTTCATATTGGAACTCATCAATTGGTAGAATGACAGTTGAAGCTTTTCTAGATACAACCCCTTTTTCGTGTCCCAGTATATTGAGTACTGAAACCGGCCCGATCATAAGCTCGACACTTCTCAATTTTTTGACTGCTTTGCAAATCGACAGGTGTGTCGGACTGCACAACCCATCCCGTCCAAGATCCATCATATACAGCAACATTAGTCTTCCCAAGTTGATGGAGGCACTGTAAAGCATTAGCACGAGAAAACTGTTTTAGAATATTAGTAAAGAATCAAATGAATCCAACTTCGTTTGGGAACCACGTTATATTTTTCCCCTTCCAAGACATTTACAAGCCTAAAGGAAGAGAGAACAATAAATCATGGAGGAAAGTACCAAGGCCAGAATACAAGCAGTTACACCAGTGCCGTAAGAAGTTAAAATAGGGCGTTCCAAGGAGATGCCTGAAATACGTTATTAGGCAATGCAAGTTTGCAAGGACAATAAGAAAATGTCAAGATCAACGATAAACCGTTATCTAAACAAGCATGAAACATAAACTTCTTTATAAGCATAGAAGCAAGATGATTCCTAAAGAAACAAAACAAAATCACATCCATTACATTGTTGGCTTCACGTTCTCCCTCTATCTTCCTTTTGGCTTCGAAATCCCACCTTAAATAAAAGGATAAGGTATTTAAAGCTACATGATATATTCGAAAATCTTAATCAGTTTAATCTCATAAAATGGCTAACATAAATTTAAATTTCAATCTTGAAAATTTATCGTTCCTTTATGAATAATATCCTTTCAACCAACTAAAAGAAATCAACATCAAGAATTAGAAGTTCATCAAAAAATGAAAGCATGAAGAAGCTTCACATCAAAATCTCTTAACACTGAATAATTGAAATTTTATCAGTACCTTCAAGTTGGATAGATTAGGTCATTAGGTTTTTGGTTGCCCAAATCCATGATAGATCTAAACCTATCTTGTCCTATACGCCACCAACATCTTACTTGCTTTTCCTGTTGTAAGATCCTACTTCAGCCCCAAAACACATACTTTCACCAGTAGTCACGACAAGAACATTGGCCATCGCTAAAATGGTGGAACCTGTAGGGATCCCTCAATATAATTTTTCGCCTTATTATTCCGCTGACAAACTTGTAAACAGAATGGCAATCACCACAAACACGAAGGTTCTTGAAAACTTTAATGGTTGAACCATTTGGAACATTTATCAATCCAAATGCAAGGGCAAGTCTTTCACTATGGTTCCAAAGATTATGCTCCTTTTGCTCTTCATCTGTATCTTGCAATGCATAGCTAGTGTCAGCAACATAACCTGCTTCTTTAATCAACTTTCTAAGCTCTCCCAACTTTGCATATATTTCATTGGTCTGAGGATGTGTTTGGTCTCCCATTCCGAACAAAACCACCTCGTTCTTCAACTTCACCCAACTGAATGCAGGTTTCTTCTTTATGTTATATGACCCCATTTGTCTCCTTACATCCTCTACAGCACCCCATTTTCCAGTAGTTGCACAAATATTAGAATATAGAACGTAAGCTGAGTCATCTGACGGGTCCAATTTAATAAGATGTTCTGCAGCTTTCCACCCAAGTTCCAAGTTCCCATGGATTTTACATGAAGCCAGCAAGGTCCGCCACACAAGGGCATCTGGCAGGACAGGCATTTCACTGATAAAAGTTTTAGCCTCAATAAGCCTTCCTGATCGACCAAGAAGATCAATTATACATACACAATGCTCTATAGTTGGCTGAACATTAAACTCTTTGCTCATTGCAGCATAATATGTAAGACCCTCATCCACTAGCCCCCCATGACTGCAAGCAGAAAGAAGAGAGACAAAGGTAACATGGTCAGGCTTCACCCCCATTTCTAGCATTTCACTGAAAGTTTCTCTAGCCTCCTGGAAATTGCCATGTCTGGCAAAAGCTGATATTAGTATGTTCCATGATAATCGTGATCGATTTAGTAGTTGGGGAAGTATTCTTAGCACGTCTTCCATTTCCCCACATTTTCCATACATATCCATTGCAGCATTCATAACAAAAGGATCCAAGTCAAATCCATGCTTGACTGCTAAACAGTGGAGTTGTTGTCCCTCTTCCAAAACAGCCAGCTTAGCTGCAGCAGCAAGACCTTCAGAGAAGCTGAATTGATCTAAATCTACACCAGCATTTCTCATCTTCGCAATACATTTTAAGACCTCTTCCTCGAGACCATGATGAGCATTTGCAGCGATAATTGCATTCCATGAGATTGTGTTCTTATCAAGCAATCTGTCAAAGATACATTCACTGATTGGAGATCACCACACTTGGCATACATTGTGATAAGGGAATTTTGCACATATCTATTTGATTCAAATCCAGTTGAGACAATATATGCATGAATGGGCATCCCACATTTCAATAAATCATCAGGGGTCAAGCAAGCACCCAAAACATTTGACATTGTAATGTAGTCTGCTTTTATACCTTCTTCCCTCATCAACTGAAATACTTTTACTGCTTCACCTGGTTCTTCATTTTCTGCATGGCCACCAATGAGAGCATTCCAAGTTACTTGATTTCGCTTCGGCATCATTTGGAAAACCTTTTTCGCTTCAACCATCATACCAGACTTTACATACATTGTAATAGATGCATTTCCAACTACCAAGTTTTCACTAAGACCTGTAAGAATTACAAGAGCATGCACAATCTTTCCTTCATCAATAAACTCAGAGTTTGAGCAAGCTGCCAATGCACTCATAAAAGTCACATAGTTAGTTGCTTTATTCATTTGAAGCATTTCAATCAATAATTTTAAGGCATCCAGACTCCTCCCACCTCTAACATAGCAGGTCATCATGGAATTCCAAGAAATTAAATCCCTCTCCGGCATTTCCTTGAAGACAAATTCAGCATCATCCAAACTTCCAGCCTCAAAATACATACCTAAAAGTGAATTGCATATACAAACATTTGAATCCAGTCCCAACCTAAAGACTAGACTGTGGATTCCTTTTCCCCATTTTAAATTATCTACAGAACTGCAGACCGAAAGCAGAGTTCCAAGAGTAGTAGAATTTATTTTCTTATGAAGATGACGCATCAAATGAAAAAAGCTCATCGATTCTCTACAAAGTCCATTCTGAACATGTGCAGAAATTATTGAGTTCCACGAGATTGTGTCACTTTCATCCATGAGACTAAAAACATAACAGGCCTCTTTTAGACTCCCTAAACAAGCAAGCATATTTATAAGAGAGTTGGCAACAGATACTTTAGTTTCAAAGCCAGATTTTACGACATGACCAAGAACTTTAAGACCCAACAATTTGTCTTCAAGAAACGAACAAGCTGTTATCACTGTAGCAAATGTGTTCTCAGTACAACTAATCTCCTCTTTCCCCATTTCATTGTATAAATGTATAACATTATCAAAATCTCCATTATCCAAATATCCAAACATCAATGAAGTCCAAGAAACTACATTCCTCTTAGGCATTTCCTCAAAGATCCTCTGCGCATCAAAAACTCTCTTGTAAGCTCCATAGAAATGCAATAAACACGTTCCCACAAACACATCATATAACAAACCAACTTTAACAGAAAAACCATGAACTTGAATTCCTTCAAGGAACATACGACCCGACCTATCGCAAGCAGTTATCAAGCTCGAAACAAGAAACCCAGAAGGCATAACACCAGAATTCAGCATTTCACGAAACAAAAACATAACATCCCCAAATAAACCAACGCGAACTAGCCCTGACATCATAGTGTTCCAAGAAGCAGCATTTCTAACAGACAAATGATCGAACAGGTAACAAGCGGAATCAGCAAGGTCAAACTTCGAGTACATGCTGATCAAAGTATTCGTCAAAAACAGGCTTAAAGGGACTAAGCCTTTGATGCAAAGTGCATGTAAGGCTTTTCCCGTGGTTTCGTGGGTGATTTGAGAGAAACCCTTCTGGTAGAAGCAAGAGATTTCGGGGTTAGGATGGTTTGAGAGGGAAACGGTGGCATAGTTTCCGGGTTTTTGTTCTTCTTCTGGGCATCGACTTGAGGAAATGGAATGAAGTTTGTCCTGGGTTCGGGAAGAAAGGCTGTGAAAAGCAGCGGGGAGTACTGGCCGTTTGGATTTGAGAAGGTTTTTGCAAAAAATAGCCAGTTCTGGTTACTGGGATTTGTTAAAGGAACGAAAGCGGAGAAACAAAGGTCAATTCGAGGGATTGGACTTGGAGGCTGAAGGCTATCTAATTATTATTTTTGAATAGTAACTCTTAACAGATTTGTTAAAAAATACTTTAAACTACACATATAGGATTACCTCTCTTTTTATCCACCGTAATTGGTAGTACGAAGTTGCACCCTCCATTGATAAATACGTTGATTAAAAGATAACCGGAGACGCACACGTTTCATTTTTTTGTGGGGAGGCGACTATTACCCTTGAAGATATCGCATATCATCTTGGGTTGTCTATCGATGGAAATCATATTACCGGTATGACTCATGGGAATTGGGGAACCTTGTGTGAGGAACTATTCGGAGCTACTCTAATGGAGAAAGATTTGGATAGAGAGAGATTTACATTAAATTTTTATTACCAATGTTTGGTTGGCCGAGAATCTCATTCCCGGTAATGTTTTATTACCAATAGTAGATTTTTTTGGGTATATTACTGAGAATGTCATTACATCCCTTCCCTTAGGTATTGTAACATTACTGGTGTTTTGGACTAAAATGCCCTTAAATTTTTTTTCTTCAAAAATATCATTCTTCTGTCATTGAATAATAAAAATTCTACAAAGGTTAAATTACAAATTTATCCTTAATTTATTTTAGATTTAAAAAAAAGTCTATAATTAAATTTTTTTTACCCTTTCATTAAACCTTTTTTATATTTTTAATTTTGTAAAAAAAATATAAATATTATGAATTTAATTTTTTAAAGAAAATATATAAATATTTTACAATTTGTAATATTATACAAATATATAATAAGGACAATTTGGTTAAATATACATTCCAATAATCTTTTATTCCTTTAACCAAACACGGTAATCTTACATTCCTGCTAAACCAACCAAACACAAAATACAACATTCCCAGTAATCCTATTCCCTGGTAATCTTTTATTCCCACTGATAATCTTACATTCCGTGAACCAAACACACCCTTGAAGATATCACATATCATCTTGGGCTGCCTATCGATGGAAATCATATTACCGGTAAGGCTCATGGGAATTGGGGAACCTTGTGTGAGGAACTGTTCGGAGCTACTCCAATGGAGGAAGATTTGGATAGAGAAAGATTTACATTAAATTTTTAGACGAAAATTTTGCGCAGCTCCCCACAAATGTTGTTCCAGAAATTAAACATGTAATTATTTAAATCTATGTTTATTTATTGTAATTTATTTATTTATAATATTTAAATTTTGTTTTAGTTTATGTTATTATAATTTTTTACGATAAATTAAGCAAATATTTACAATATTTAGATTACTAATTTTGATTTTTGTAATTTAATAACATTATTGTAAAAATAGTATTATACAGATGTATTTGATAACAAAATATAATTGCCTAGAGAAAATTTAGTAAAACCCTAAATTACAAAAATCAAAATTAGTAATTAAATAGTTATCCATTTCAGCATTATCCTAAGAACAATACCCAATTAATATCATATGGGAATGTAAAAAAAAAAACTAATAGATGTGTAGTAAATTCATTTAATTTTACACTAGTGATTAAAGTGATTATTATTATCCATAGAAGTCTTAGGTTCGAGCGCCAACGATTGTAGGATATTTGAGCTTTCATTGTCAAATGATTGAGTCTTTAAAACAATTACTACCACTTGTAATTACCCTAGATTAATAAAAAAATTCTTTTAGTTTAAAAAAGTTAAAATATACTCGAAGTTCATGCACTTTTCATACATTTAGAATTTAGTCCTACTTTCACTTATAAGAATTTAGTCTCTTTACTTGTTAGATTTAAAATTCAAGTTCAATTATTAATATTGTTATACTTATTCCTTTAAATATATTGATTTGATATTTTAAAATAAAAAAGAAATGTTAATTTAGCAATCAATTAACCAGAAAATGACATTATAATGAATTTGAATTTAACAAAAGAACATTAACGATGTTAATAATCAGACTTAAAATTTTAAATTTGAAAAGAAAAGGGATTAGATTTCTAGAAATTAAAATAGAAAGACAAAATTCTAAATATGCAAATAGTGCAGGGAGATGAAACATATTTTAATCTAACCCAAAAACTAAAAATTTAAAAATGTATTTTGTCTTTTAATTCAATTTTTAATATCATATTTATTATAAATGAGCGAAACTTTACTCAAATAAATTTGAGAATAAAAAATCAATATTTTATACTTACAACATATATTCCTTATTTTGGAGAGAAAACTCGAACTAGGTACTATGAAACGTAAGACGGCGGCGCAACTATGGCGGCGCGCATTTAACAACAGAATTAAAATATAAAAGTATTTTCCAGAAAGAAGCATAAACTAATAAACCATACTATAAACCCGATAACGCTTTATTTTAGAATTATATTAAGGTATCGTAGTATAGAACTTTCAGTATTTTAACTGGAAATGCTCACGTATGGTAGTATTAATATAAGATTAAATTTTTTTTTGTTAAGCGTTGTTCCGACAGTTGCATGCAATGTCCGCTTAACTTGCCGGAAAAACACTAACAAGAAAGGAATTTACAGCCAATATAAATGGATTGATATATTCAAGTTCAATAATTAGTTGAAGACTGGAGTTACAGAGTAGTCTGAAACAAGGTAAGATAACCGTATCTAAAGAAAGGAACGTGATTAACACCAGAAGCTTATGACATGCCTCTATATTTATATGTTTGTAAGTTTGTTCATAAAAGGAATTTAAGGTTCGAATTTAGGATCACTTAAAAGGTCTAATGTGGCATCCTAAGTTCATTTTATATTATGGGACAAGTTTACGATGTCATAATAAATAATTTATTTAAAAAAATTAAATAATCTTATATTAAAATTAGTGATCGAATTAAATTCTATAATTTAACTTTACTAGATTTTTTCTTATCAATAAATTATAATTTATTTTTAATTATTTTCTTTTTCATTAAATCTCCTAATGTAGTTTTCGTTATACAAACTCCCTCTTATTTACTTTCTTATTTATTTTTGTAAAATTTATCTAACATCACTCTGCATAAAGTCAACTATGCTTATTATTCCTACAAAATTTATTTTTAATATGAATTATATTTGAAGGCTTCGAGCCTTAGACAATATGTGAAAAATCTCAATTGCATTTTCTACTGAACTAGTTATGTTCCTATTCTCTCAATCGGTGGCTGTTTTGTTTTTCGGTGATGTATCGTTCAACAGAGAGCTCACCCACAAAACCTTAGCTGTCGCATCTACAACGCTTCTGTGCTCAGCCTTCATTGTTGATCATGACACTATCTTTTGTTTCCTAGAGCCCTAGGCAACAAGACATTCAATAAAAGAGCTCGAGAAGCTGTGCATAAAACAGACACCATTGTCCCTAGCAAGTTTTAAGACGGAGAGAAGGTTTTTTGTTATCTTAGGAACATGCAATAAGTCTCAATAAAAGAGCTCGAGAAGCTGTGCACAAAGCAAATTTACCAGAGACATTAACAACCAAAGAAGCACCATCACCGATAACAAGATTACTTGGACCAGAGAAATCATTCCTATGCGCAATGTTGGTAGTATCAGGGGTCACATGATGTGTAGTCCCTGAATCAACAACTCAATGTTCACGAGTAGTAGCAGCATGAGCCCGAGGTTGAGATGGATAGCACATCAGTCCTTCAGCTTGAGTTTTTGTGCGACACGAACAACCATCGTCATTGACAGATTCTGACTCCAGACTGGAATAATTTGCATTCCCTGAATCATCTTTAGAATAATTACGATCAGAGGTTCTCCCAGAAAACGTCTGATCTAAGAGATACCAACAATTAACCACGAGATGACCATTTTTGCAACATAGTTGACATTGAACCCTAGGTCCGCTACACCCCCTTCCACCAGAATGGCCACGGGAGCTGGACTCATGAGAACACTATCAAACGTGACAGTGATTGTTAATTGGCTTTGCTCTAGGAGTAACATGAGTTAGATGAGCACTCATCGGCAGAGACTCCTCCTGAGTATATGATTAGTGCTTAAATTATACATTATTTTATGCTCAATTACTCTTTTATTAGCTATTTTAAGTTGTTAATTTGGCCTTTTTCGCTCATTTTCGATATATGACATTGAATTCTAGAAATTATGTTAAAACTGACGAAATTGTGTAATTTTTTATTTTCTAGATTCATGGCCGGAGTAGTGGGCATGACTTTGTGCATGACATCGCTGACGTGGCGTTCAGTTAGCAGTGGCATGAAGACCAAAGACTCAGCCGATTTTTTGAATTCAAATTAGGAATTTTATTATTTTTATTTTACGAATTATCTTTTTAGTTTTAAGTGTTATCTTTTAGGGTTTTTGAGGAATATAAATACCCCATTGAGGTAAGTCTAATTCTTAGTTTAATAAAGTTTTTCTTGTTTTATTTTATTTTCCTTTATAGTTTTTATTTTATTTTTCTTTCAAAACGCTAAAGTATGGTTTCTACCATGCTTAGCTAAGTTTTTCATAACCAAAGGCTAAAGCAATACTCGATTCTAAGTCGTGAGAATCGAAAAGCACATCATACCCTCAAGGGTTACATTTTTAGTTTTTAAAAATCAAGGATCAGTAAGCGATCATCCTTTTACAATCAAAGCAATTTCATTTCAAAAAGTGCACGTTGGATTTGAATTTCGGTTTCGATTAATAATTGGGAGGAAGGATTAGCTTGTGGCACATTCGACTTCCTGTGAACACACTTAGCGGTGGTCCGCTAAGGAAAATTGAAATTGGGT